CCCCACGGAAGGATGAATTCTCTTAATTGCTCATTATGTTTTCCAAGAGACAAATCTACTGCTGAAATATTCATTCTTCTGGGGAATCTAAGGCCATGTTTACTTGCGACAATGTTCATTAAGACTGTATACAGCATTTGGGTGCCCCAAAATACATTATGTACATTATTCACAACTTCACGTTGTAAAGGTTTTTGGCTCCACCAAGAGGACATTGTGATATCTCTGATCATAAGAGTTCTGGTTTTACTTTACTCTAAATATGAAATATTTCTTGAGGGTAGGTTTATTTTGGAATGCCAATTTCTGTACAGGAAGTCTGCAAAAAACCCTATTGAATATTTAGGAAATATATATTTAGGACTTAGGAAATATTTTATCAAGCAGCTATTCTTAAAAATATGATTAAATATTCCATTCCATTGACCGCCAGTTTATTGTTAGGGTTGGAAAGTGTGAGCACGAGAGTTCCACAGGTTTGTATGGAAATTCTGAAATTGGCATCATAGACTTTTTATTCTTCATTGAAGAATAATGTAATTAAAAGCCATCTCTTCAGAAATATGACAGCATTTTCTAATATGGTTTACTCAGTCAAGTACATGTCAAAAAACAACAAAATAAAAAATAATTTTCTTGCAGTAACTTTGATTATCGATATGAGCTATTAGGCTATTTATTTCAAGTGTCTTTTTTATTCATTTATATTTCAGTTTTAATTTTGGCTATTTTAGAGCATCAAGTTCAGCTTAAGGCGAGACACTACAGGAGAATAGGGTAATTTTTTTAACTAGCAGATATCACCATGAAACTTTCCCAGTTGATTACCTACATTAAGATGAGAAAAAAATGTATTACAAGTTTTCTGTAATTTAATGTTTAAATATGCAAATTAGGCATTATCTACTTAAATATGCGCTAATTTGCATTATATTTCAAAAAATGAAATCTGAGTATTGGATAAAGCCAGGTTCAAAATTCTTTTTTCATTGTGTTCACATATTAGATGGGGGAAAAAATTACAGAGGGATTTATGGATATCTACTTTTGTTATCCTATAAATCAGAATATACTGTCAATAGCCTTAAAAAAATGATTTTTGCCATGTTTTTCGGAATAAAATGTTATATAAATCGGGCTAGGAATAATATATTTACAAATCCCTCTGTAAATGTCTTCATAATATGACTAGGTACAAGAAGTTTGGTGTATATAGGTGCTACCGAAAAGTCATTTTGAGAAAACGGACTTTAAAGATTTAGCATCAGCCAATGAGATTGCGCATTTGCGCCCTTTTACTTTCACGATTGGTTGCTGATAAAAAGGAAATGACCATATTTGGATCCGACAACATTGTGAGAGAGAGAGAGAGAGAGAGAGAGAGAGAGAGAGAGAGAGAGAGAGAGAGAGAGAGAGAGAGAGAGAGAGAGAGAGAGAGAGAGAGAGAGAGAGAGAGAGAGAGAGCTTTCTAACGGTGTGTGTGATGACAGGGTGCAGATCGCGATCGCGGAGCAACGGATGATTTACAACGCCAACTTTTGATGAATTTATGAGAAATCTACAGACGCAAACAGACAAAGTGTCGTAAAATAAAGACCTAAATGTGTATTTCGGACTTTTTTTATCACCACAAGTCTGAAAGAAGACATGTTTTTGAAGACAAATATCCCGAAATCTCAAAATTGACCAGTGAAAAAAAATGTTTTTGCCTGCCGTGTCTCGCCTTATTGAAAATGATAAATGTTGCCTTGGCTGTTTTTATTCATTTACTCCCATGATTCCACGCTCATTCACAGCATCATCAAGCTACGCCTTTGTAATTGTTTTGAAAAAGCGTTCTTTAGCGGCAAAACTTACATACTGTGACTTTAACATTTATTTCAAGTTACCTTTGTGGGCGAGTAAAGGCAGTTTATTTACATTATAGTCTTAATCACATTTTCTGTTTATTTTAATGACGTCTGTTATTTAAAATTGGACATATCCAAAAATGATCAAGACAAGGCTACAGAAAGGCTAGGGGGATCTCAGAATACAGTTTGTTTGAGTAGGCTACAGTAAGCTAGTTCAGTCCAAATACAGAGTACAGTAGGCTTGCAAAGACGTAATATGACATGACGTGCCAAAAGATCCCTGTGCGATAACATATTCAACTTCACATCAGTCACTCATGAATATTTAAATGACACTCGGGTCCATCTGGCCAGGTGCAGATGAGGAGAGACAAGCGGTTCAGCACTGGTCTGCCATACATGTTACAATGATGAATCTGTGTGTGTGTGTGTGTGTGTGTCTGTATTCATTCAATGTCTTGCACACAAGCGATCAATTTGATGCTCGCAGTATACGGTATATATTGCATGAATTCTAGACCAGATTTCTACCCACCATTACTGATAACGACGTCCACCTTTAAATGCAATGACCAAGACATTACAATTGCATTACATTACAATTTAACACTGATTCTTATGAATAATAAATGAGATTTGCCTTGCCTTAGAAAACACCATTAATAAATTGCATTACATGCTATGTCGTAGTGATTTTCTTCTTCCAGATAGTGAGTTATATTAAGTGGTTGAAAGAAAAAAAAAGAAAAAAGACCATGTGTGAATCCCAAGTTTGAATGTGTAAAACACATGAAATGAGCACAAGCAACAAAACCTGGTATTAAATGCAGATTTTATTAATGAAAATTTGCCAAATATACACCTAATATCATCCAAGTAAATATTAAGTTCATATTTCAATATTCAAAAGTGGTAATTTGTTAAGAGAACGATTAGATCAGGGTTGGATAGACATTATATCTCCAAAAACTACACACTATACAGGTCAGTATGTTCATTGATCCATTTCGATTAGTTCTCTTTTCCATAAAGATTGCCCATTACAACAACTTTATTCAATGAAAAAAAATCACTATAAAAACAGTTCATTTCAGGGCAGAGCTATGATTCTACCAAGGAAGCTATGGCTGACATTTAGAATACATTATTCATTTGGGAAACCATCTGAATGTAATGACATTTGAGTTGTAGTTTTTATTTGCTGAATTCTGCCTCTCTGTATTAATCCCTAAGTTTAGCTCGATACAAAGCTTAAGACAGGTTTTCAAAAATGGACATATATTGAGACATTACTGAACCAGGCCCGTATATTTCAGCATATTGAACAGCAAGCGCAAGGACACCAAAAAGATATCATATTCATCTTCCACTGACTCTGCATGAGAAAATGAATGCCATGAAAATATTCCTGCCGTTCCACCGAACAAAAGATCTAGCCAGTGTACAAACGTTTATGTGAGTGTTCAGACTTCTTTTGTCCGTTTGTTGAGTTTCAACATTTTTATGCCCTTAAATAAGATTGATCAATCCATTCCACAGGGAAATATCCAGTCTCACTAAAGTGCTTTAAGCACCACCATACAGTAGTTACCAATCAGGTGCTATATACTATTATTCAAAATAATAATAATAAAACAATCAGAAAAAGAAAACCAATGACAGATCAACTTTAGTAATTAACAATAAATGTACACATAGTATTTTCACTTTCAGTGCATAAGATGATGACGATTAATGGACATTAATTATTGAGTTATGCATGTGCGACTATATAACAATGTCTCTTTGCCCAGATAACCATAAAGGTAGAATGTAAACATGACATAAGTTCATTTATTTGTGAACAAATTATATATTATAATGGAGAGCAATCCAGTACTCGAGAGCTTTCAGTTTTTCAGATGTTGAATTTTTGTGAGGTCTACTGAAAAACTATAAAGACTATTTATTGATAGGCACAAAAGGCAATTTTTTTTTTTTTTTTTACTTTGCCCAAAGAATTATGCTATTCAGGGACTTTTTGTCTTTATGGGTACAAACGGAAAGTATGTTTCCAATGTTGCACCATTTTAAAGAACAAGAATGTTGTTTTTAGTACACTTGCTGCACTACGTTATAGGAGATGTGGTCTGTCGACATCCATCACAACCAAGCTAATATAACATATGACATAAATAACAAAACAAAAGAGATCCATGTGAACTTAAAAAGGACTATTTCCTGATGTCTTGACTCTTGAGCTTAACATATTGAGATGTAAATGAATGATTGTTATACATGCAAGCATAAGACCATTTGTATTAAAACATGCAATAGACAGGGTTCCCACACTACTGACCAATGCATTTCCATGCTTTTCAATAACTTTTCAGCCGAGGTGATTACCAGATACAGATTTTTTAAAAATATGCATTGAAGCATAAAAAACCCTCATGATATAATGCAATTCTCTGATATTCGCAAGTTTTTTAATGATTGTGGGAACCCTGAATAGGCCTTGGTTAATTAAAGAAACACAATGTTAGTCTGTGCTACTGAAAAACATTTAAAACGTTACTGATACAAATCAAATCATAAACACGTAAAATAAAGTAAAATGAGATCAACAACAAAAAAAGATGTAAAAAAAAACAAAAACCATTGAACAGTTTGTTTATAGGTTTGAGGGTATTCTTGTTTTTTCCCCCCCCCCTCTCATATTAAGTCACATTAAATGGCTTTTTTATGACTAACTTCAAGTCCTTCTATGTGAGTTCCTATCATGTCCTATGTAGTCACCAAATAAATGTGTACTAACACCCTAATGGAATACCCGGACACTCCTCAAGTAATTCGGTTAGTAATCAGAGAATTCACAATTCAGGTTCACTTCATTGATGGAAACTTTGGCATTCGTTGTAGACATACAATGAAAAAATAAACGATCTTCATTACTGTCATTGTTGTTTCAGTCATATTGCATCAGTAATCACAGAACATGCATACACTTAAAGATTGAATTCTTTTCAAATCACGTTAAAAAACAAAAGAGATAAAATTCACAATTCAACAGGTCTGAAACAGGCAGGGACATATTGGCAGCATATGCGAAAGAAACGTCAAATATTTCCCTACATCCTCACTCACCATATTTCTATTTTCAATTACAAAAGAAAGGAATAAAAAGAAAGAAAAAAATCCTGAAATGGCTCTGGAAAAAGGAACTAATGTAATATCTGAGACATAATATGATGAGAGTTTCAACAGTTTGAATTTCTTTTGTCGGGATAAATATACAAGCGTTATAGATTCATTTACCTGAGTAAGAGTAAGATAAGTTTGTACAAACTGCACAAAGCTTTTAAAAGACTAAAGCACATACATTAGACGAAGGATTACAAACATGTTACTCCACTGATGGCGTAGGTAGTGCAGATTAGTAAGAGGCGAGTAGACGGACATGAAAGTGGCTACAAAACTCATACCTCCTCCAGCAACAACAAACCACTTCATCACTCCTCCAGAATCTGATGTAGGACCTTCAGTAGATTCTTCAGACCGTAGATGTAACCCTGGTCGGGAACGTCACTAGGGAAGACATGTGCAAAGTCGATCATCTTTACCTCCACGTCACTGAGCGGTTCCTGTCCCGCTTGGCTCTTCTCCTCCTCCCGGTCCTCTTCCAGTCTTGGCAGGCTGCGGTTGCCGTTGGGCTGCTGTGAGGAGCTCCACACGCCGTTGTCCTGTTTGGCTTGGTAGTGGCTCCGGACGCAGCCTTTCTTGTGCAGGGAGTACATGGTGGACAGGCTCTGATCGATGTTGTTGTTCTGCTCACAGGCCTCGGGTGCGATCTGGCTCTCTCGTAGGGTCTGAGAAGCGGGGCTGGGCGCGCAGACGCCCTCGTACACAAAGAGCAGAGAGCTTGCATAAAAGTGAAACCGACTCTGGCCCTCAAACCACTGAAGGATCTTCTGGACTTTGATGATGCTGGCAGTGATGGCGTCTTTGCGGAGAATATCGCCGTTGTAGAAGAACTTGGATAAACCTGGAGAACGGAGAAGATCTTGTTTGAAACTGAATTACTCAAATCAGAACCACAGATGTCAATTGCTGAAACCTTTTCAATCGTATCTGCAGGCATGTTACGTTCCACGTGCGTTTTGTTTTCACTGATCTGTATACGTGGGGTAATTTGCTGTATATGTGGTGTAATTTGCACGTGTTGGCCATTATGTTCATTTTGTTTCTCTTTCGTCCCTAGTTCACTATCTCTGCTCGCAGGATTGCTGTGATTGGCTGAGCCGGACGTTAGTCATCATTGAGGCGACGTTCCAGAACCAATCAAAGGCCGTTCAGCTGGTTTTAAGAGAGTGGCGCGTTCATTCACTCTCTCTCTCTCTCTCCTGTGGCGTGAAGATTGGGGTTTCTTTTTCACATTTTGTTTTGAGTAGGGTTAGGGTTAGCTTAAAGGGATACTCCACCAGTTTTTCTTATTAAACTATGTTATTCCCTTAACTAAGACGAGTTGATACATACCTCTCTCGTCTCAGTGCGTGCACTATATCGCTCTGTATTGCCGCAAAACTATGTTAGCACTTAGCTTAGCCCATGCATTAAATATGGGCCAAGCAGAGAAGCGACCAAACACTTCCACGTTTTCCCTATGTAAACACAGTTACTCGAGTAGTGTAACTTGACCTGGGCTGGTGACACAAAATAAACCGTTGCGCTTTTCTAAGCGTTTAAAATTGATGACTATATTGTATGGCGGAATACCATAACAAGTGCTTTTGAGCACTTCGACTTGGCGCAATAATATCTTCACTCGTGAAAAGATTACCGGCTCCCGCTTCCTCTCCCCCTCCCTCCAATAGCATCCAGCTGCTGACATTTCCGTCAATACTACCAACGTGACTTTTACTACCTGTGCCATTAGCAAACCGCAGATCATTTGCAATGGCGGACTTTGTAGATGATTATGACTTCTTTGTAGAAGACCCAGAGCCATATCTGTTTGAACCCGAGTACACGGAGGAGGAATTAGCTCTTATGGACCGTGAGAGGCAAGAAAGATATGATCCAGAACAGACCGGAGCTGGCGAAAGACCACGGGCTTTCTGTAAGTGATCTGAATATTGTTGGTGTAGCCTCATCCTTTAGGCGTGTTCCTGTGCAGGTATAGTCCTTCTTTGTGAAATGTTCGGAGCAAACACGCCACTTCTTCAGAGTCATCAATGGTGTTTTGGGATTCTTGTTCAAAGCAGCTAACCAAGCTCTCCGCTGTATGTGGTGTGTTGGAATTCGGTGAAAAATGACAGCACTATGTACATTCTCCTTATTTTCACAACCCTTTACGATGCACGCTTTAACCATTATTGTACACAAACTAGCTTCCAACAACCTGTTACTTCGTCAACTCCGCTCGAACTACTACTACCGGCGCATGTCACGTTGGTTGTATTGACGGAAATGTCAGAGGGAGGGGGAGAGGAAGCGGGAGCCGGTAAGAGGACTTTTCACGAGTGAAGATATTATTGCGCCAAATCGAAGTGCTCAAAAGCACTTGTTATGGTATTCCGCCATACAATATAGTCATCAATTTTAAACGCTTAGAAAAGCGCAACGGTTTATTTTGTGTCACCAGCCCAGGTCAAGTTACACTACTCGAGTAACTGTGTTTACATAGGGAAAACGTGGAAGTGTTTGGTCGCTTCTCTGCTTGGCCCATATTTAATGCATGGGCTAAGCTAAGTGCTAACATAGTTTTGCGGCAATACAGAGCGATATAGTGCACGCACTGAGACGAGAGAGGTATGTATCAACTCGTCTTAGTTAAGGGAATAACATAGTTTAATAAGAAAAACTGGTGGAGTATCCCTTTAAGGATTGTTTTTGTTATATTATGTTCTTTCCTTTGGCGCCACTTTTTGTTTGTCTTCCCAATCTTTTTTTTCATTGCATTGTACATAGCGCATCCATTGTAATGTTACTGGAACTAGTGGCTTCGGCTTTTATGTGAATAAAATCCAGTAATTTCTCTCTTTCAAAGTTTGTCTGACATGTTCTTCCAGTCTACTTCACATCTAGCAGCATATTAAGATGTTAATGGTACGAAATTCCCTAGGCCTTTTAAAGATCGTAACAAGGCAATTCAAGACAAAGCTGAACTTGGATCGGCAACCTGGGGGTTAATAGCTCAGTTGACGTAAGAATGAAAATCAACTATACTTACAATGTATCATATAGCTCAATCAGTGTTTCAAATTGCGGAAGACGCACAAACACTACGTTTACATGGACACTTTTTAAAGATTAATCTGAACAGCGTTTACATGAATGCTAAACAACGTGATCAGGTTGATGTGTGAATATATTTATTATCTATTATCTGTATTTGAAAGATTCTGCTTAAATGAAAGTGTCATTCAACCCATATGTGTTCTGTCACAAGCGGCTTGACTAACCCTAGGTTTAATGGTGGGTTGAGGAGTAAAGGAAAGGTCAACAGTGTAATTATTAAAATTAACTGCCGCTGTAATTACATGATTTTTTTCTAAACAAGTACAGTGTAAAAAAACAATTATGTACACAATAACTGCATTGTATCAAGAGATGAATTGAAAATGAGTAAATAGACACTTAATATAATAATAAAATATTTTAAAAATTGAATAAAAACAATTAAAAAGTTGATATAAAAACAGCCGTAGGAGCCTTTTTTATATATATATACACACACAACTCAGTTTGAGTGTTGATTATTAAATCAATTTGATTTATTATTGAATACATTTTATTTTCAGTTTAGTTTCAGTGTTTGGTGCATCACTACTACTGTTCATTAGTTCAACTGGTGCATAGAAAAATATTTTGTTCACATGCAGGCTTTTTATTTGTGCTCGTGAAAGCATGCCTTGATTATTTTTAACTAGATTTCTTACTGTATCTTACATTATACATTTATACTTTTATCCAAAGCGACTTGCATTGCATTCAAGGTACACACTTTTATTATGTTCAAGCATTCCCTGGGAATTATCCTCAACTGTTTGAGCCACAGGAATACTTCCATTTTACTTCTGGCATTAGACATTTATCTATCTGGCAACAATTGCTAATAATACCTTCAAACAAAAACAAAAAGCAGCAAATTATGGTTCACAAAGTAATGTGCCATGCCTGGTTATGTGCCATTTAAATAAAAAAAATAGCACGCCGCTCATCAAAGCATTTCAAACGGCCTTTAAAGGGATAGTTCACTTTGAAATTAACTTTTGGTATGTTTTAGCTTACCTCAAGGGCATCCAAGATGTAGGTGTCTTTGTTTCCGCAGTAGTTTACGTATAACGCCGGCGATCAAGCCGGCGAAATTACGTATTACGTACCGCATAACGCCGGCGATATGTTATGCCCTAAATTAATACATGATGATTAACTAACTATATTCTTCTATGTACATTTCTGAAATGCACTGTCTGTAAAGCTGCTTTGAAACAATATGTATTGTGAAAAGCGCTATACAAATAAATTTGAATTGAATTGAATAGTTGCAATTTTGATATTTTTAGGTCAAACCGTTCTTGTCTGTCAGTCATATAATGCAGGTCTATGGTCACCACCTCAAAGAGCATGCACAGAGAAGTCCAAATTAAACATGATTTAATGACTCGTAAATGTAAGTACACATTGATGGCCTAAGACACGAAACGAGCGGTTTGTGTGAGAAAACGAACAGTATTTATATCATTTTTACCTCTTGTAACCACAGCTACGTCCAAGTGATCTGAGGGCGCGGGCGCTTCGGTCTGCGCAAGCGCCGGAAAGCGGCGGAAGTGATCTCTCTGAAAAAATTCAACGTTGTCTGTTGATATATCGAAATCGTCTTCCATTGCGATTTTGTATATCTAAATATGTTTAGATCTTCACAGTGAAATGTAACACTTCTGAAATCTCTGTGTAAACAATGAGTGACGTACACGCGAGAGAGATCACTTCCGGCGCTTTCCGGCGCTTGCGCAGACCGAGGCGCCCGCGCCCTCAGATCACTTGGACGTGGCTGTGTTTACAAGAGGTAAAAACTATATAAATACTGTTCGTTTTCTCACACAAACCGCTCGTTTCGTGTCTTAGGCCATCAATGTGTCCTTACATTTACGAGTCATTAAATCATGTTTAATTTGGAGTTCTCTGTGCATACTCTTTGAGGAAGTGACCATAGACCTGCATTATATGACTGACAGACAAGAACGGTTTGACCTAAAAATATCAAAATTGGAAACAAAGACACCTACATCTTGGATGCCCTTGAGGTAAGCTAAAACATACCAAAAATTAATTTCAAAGTGAACTATCCCTTTAAGAGTAAATTAAACTTGTTTTCCTCATGCATCTTAAACACAACAGAAACACGCATAGTTTGAGGTGATAGTGCAATGGCATAAACAGTATGATGCTTTGACTCTGAGGTTGATCTTACCTTCTTGGATCGTGTCCTTCAAGAGACCTCTCCCATAATGCTGGTCATAGGTGTCAAAGCTGTCCGAGCCAACTTTATACACCTAAAAGACAGTGAGAAGCATTTTAACTGGAGGTAAATATGAATCGTCTCTTCATAGGTCTTGCTCTCCCTCTAGAGGACATGTGTGTTCATTACAGTAACTCCACTGATTGAATAAGATCCAGAGAGGAAATGAAACTCAAGTTGAACTTCTGGAAGGGTGAAGAGGGAGCCAATGTAATATTGTACTGTGTAATTTGGGTTATTTTGAGAAGGGCATTAAGTTGCTTTCTATATCATCCAAATCAACAGAGCAATTATGAGTAATGGTTCTGTTTGCTTGGTGGTTATGTAGATCGGCTCTTTTCATCCATCTGTTTTTCTGTACGAGCTGGCAGAGAGCTGAACCCCTGGGACGGATTGAGAATGAGAATTTACATACCGCCTGCATCCCCATCAATATTTCACCAAGAAACTGGACCTCACTGCCCTTTTTATGCATTTTAGACAACTTCTATCCTGAAGACTGCAAAATATATATATATATTTTTTAAATATAGTAAAGGTCAACCAATAATTTCCCTTAAACTATTGGACTCCGCTACTTTTTTTAAAAGGTGCCCTTTAAGCCAGGAGAAATGAAATGGGTAAAACAAACAAGACAAATTGTATATCAGGATGCAGAAATTTAAAGTAATTTAATGTTGTGTCAAATTTAATCAATTCACATTTCAAATAAATAAGAACAAATGCAATAAACTCATTGTCATGTTCAAGAAACCAGTGTGAGATGATGAGTTATCCCAGAAGTCCTAGCTGCAGCCTGTAACGCAATGACGTAATTGATATCAAATACGTAGTTGACGTTTTAACACAAGTGCGCTGTACTAGGTTTCGATTACGTCATGAAAGTTTTAACACGCATGGGCGCAATTACCTATTACATTATCCACAAATTACATTATTTTATCAAATCTGTATGACATATGCCATAATGGCTATAGAGAATGAATTTAAACATTAAAGCTTTTACATTATGGCCCATCACATGTTCTACTTACTCCCTACTGATAGCTTCAAAGATGTATGCAATTTTGAAAAATGCATTTTGTATTTTATCTCCAATGACACTGCTCACATTAGTGCTATTATCATCCATTATAGTATTATTGCAATCCATTATTAGAAGTTTACACAAAGCACTGTAACATAGATATGCAAAAGTGGCACTATAGTTATTAGAATATCCATCACTGATGGATTTAGTTGAGTGTAAATCTTCTCTTTTTTTTGTGTTTTTATCCGTCATTTAATTTCCCATAGACATAATGCCATTCCATTTTGTGTATATAGATTTTTATATCATTCTAATATAGCTAAAATAAACATTTTAAACAATAAAAATGACATTAAAATGAAAGAAAAGACGAGTTCACGTCACTAATAACGCCCCATCAAGTCAAATAAATGTTAAATGTATTTAATCATTAGAACGTTGATCTATCTCTAGGGATTGTATTTGCATGAAAAATAGAATTGTTTGCATATTAATATTAGCCTAGCATACCTGACAACAGTTTGTGAATTCGTTGGACATTGGGATGTTTTTACAGTCAAAACCCATTATTTATCGGATACCAGACACAGGATTGTTTTACTTCTTTTTATTCTTGTCATCTTTATTTATTAAATCTCTTACGGTATAAAAAAATATGTCTACACATTTTCGTACAACTCTTATAACCTGTCATGTAGGCTATAGCACACCAAGTAAGAGAGAAAAATTATATATTTTACGAACAAATGCCACTGAATGGAATGCCACTTTTACGGAAATATGAAACAAATAACACAGAAGACTAATATATATATATATATATATATATACACACACACACACATAATATATATATATATATATATATTATATATAAATAAATATAAAGACAGACTATGAGTGGGAAAAAAAGAAAGACAATATAGTTATAGATATTTTCAGTCTATTCGTATTCATAAAGGACCAAATTAAACAAATAATAATAATAATAATATATAGGCCTAGGTTATATGTCTATTCAAAACACTACGCCCTTGTTGCTTAAATAAAGTTTAAATATGCTAGCTACTGATTTAAAAATCCCATAATAATTTCTCTAATGAAACAACCATTTGTATCTATTTATTCTATCTTTAACTCGGCATAAATACAAGATTAAAACATTTTTTTTTTTTTAAACATGCGTGTTAAAAACATCCAATTCCACGCATGCGCATCGAACATCAACTACGTATTTGATTAAGTACGTCATCGCGCTACAGGCTGCAGTGAGGACAGTCTCCATTATCCTGCTAGAAGTAGCCATCAGAAGATGGTACACTGTAGACATAAAGGGATGGACATGGTCAGCAACAATACTCAGGTAGGCTGTAGCATTTAAATTATGCTCAATTGGTACTAAGGGGCCCAAAGTGTGCCAAGAAAATCTCACACACCATATTACACCACCACCAGCAGCCTGAACCGCTGATACAAGGCAGGATGGATCCATGTATTTATGTTGTTTATGCAAAATTCTGACCCTACCTATCTGAATGTTACAGCAGAAATTGAGACTCATCAGACCAGGCAAGTTTTTCCAATCTTTAATTGTCCAATTTTGGTGAGCCTGTGTGAATTGTAGCCTCAGTTTCCTGTTCGTAGCTGACAGGAGTGGGAGTTCATCTGCTTCAAGGTTCGATGTGTTGTGCGTTCAGAGATGCTCTTCTGCAGACCTTGGTTAACAAGTGGTTATTTGAGTTACTGTTGTCTTTCTATCAGCTCGAACCAGTCTGGCCAATCTCCTCTGGCATCAGCAAGGCTTTTTTTTTGCCCACAGAACTGCCGCTAACTGGATATTTTCTCTTTTTCTGACCATTTTCTGTAAACCCTAGGTTGTGTGTGGAAATCCCAGTAGATCAGCAGTTTCTAAAATACTCAGACCGTCCAGCACAAAACAATCATGCCACATTCAAAGGCACTTAAATCACCTTTCTACTCCATTGTAATGCTCAGTTTGAAGTTCAGCTGATCACCTTGACCATGTTTACATGCCTAAATGCATCGAGTTGCTGACATTGATTGGCTGATTAGTTTCGGAAACATTCTGGCATTTTGCTCCCTCGGTTTCTCCATATGTGAAGCTGATGCAGCTTTTTTAATGGATGGCTTTGTGGGAAAAAATGTGAGCATTTTCTTTAAAAGGTGAGTTTCTTATGGCCAACGCTCCGTCAGATTCTTCAGACATTTGACCCCCAGGCCAATGTAAAAATATTCATATATATATACAAAGCGTATACTAATACAAATCTCTACTAATTGACACACTTAACCCGACAGCTAATGTTTTAATATTTCACGTGTAACCTTAAAGAACTGCACAGTTTTATGCAATGGCAAATGACCAACATACATGATATGGTTACTTAGATCTGGATACATTTGCTTTGACATAAGTCATGCTCCCTGCCATGAAAAAAAAATAAAATCTACTTTATTATACTAATAAATAATGGATTTATTGTATACTACAGACATTGTAAAGACACATGACTATTTATTTAGGGTTAATGCACTAACACTAACCTAGCTTTCGCATGTAATACAATCAGGAAAGTTTTACATTCCACGTTTAAAGCCACGTATAAATCAAGAAAGGCAGTGGATATTAAGTCTGTTCTCTGACTTACATTTTCTCTAAAGAAATAAAAAAGGACATGGCTCTGCATAAGTAAAGGGCTGTTGAGTAAACCTCATCCATCATGAGCTGATGATAAAGAGTTTAGAGGTCTCCACCCATGTTTCTCAAGAAAGGAGCGAAAGACCCTGAGGATGCTGGGAGAGGCCAGTGTGATAAGCTCATCCTGTCTGATGGCACAGATAACCAAACATATCCTCTCTCTCTCGCTCTCTCTCACACACACACACACACACACACACACACACACACACACACACACACACACACACACACACACACACACACACAATTAAAATGATTTCTGAAGGATCATGAGACACTGAAGACTGGAGTAATGATGCTGAAAAAACTCAGCTGTGCATCACAAGAATAAATAACTTTTTTTTTAAACAAAACCGGTATTTGTAATATTTCACAATATTAGTTATTACTCTATTTTTATATATATAGAGAGAGAATATATATAGAATATTTCATACTAGAATATGTTTTCACGCTTGATTGTGAAAAAACACACATTATTTTTCAAAAATTTTACATTACAGCTCCTCTCTCCCCAGTCTGGTTGAATGCAACGTTTTCGATGAAGCCCCTCCTTCTGAAATATAAAATGTTCTGTGATTGGTTACTGGCCCAGTGTGTTGTGATTGGCAGCGCTTAGCGCGTGTTCAGGAAATGTAGCGCCCCTTCATAACCATGAGCTCTACTCGGATGTAAATATTAATGATGGCGTCAATTTCAAACACGATTCAGACCCTGACAATGTTAACGATTGTGCGACAACACACTTCATCTTCTCTAGATCCGCTTAACCAGGTCTCATCAACTTTTTTGCGTATTCCACGGGGGGCGGGGATTTTTAAATGAGGAACATTATGACTTCATAAGAAAAAAAATGTGTGATGTAGTCCAAACGAGTCGTTCATTGTAGTTCTTGAAATTTGGATTCTGTTAAATAATATATACACAATTATTTATACATATACGTATATACATATATATATAAACAGTGTGGTAAACCCAACCATTCTCTCTCTCTGTTATGGTTAATGTCTTGTTAATACACTCACTTTCTTTGGAAAATGGTTTGGTCATAAATTCTCCTTCTAAACTGCTGAAGGCCATTCTTCTCTTTTATGGTAAACAGATTTTCATTTCTTTCCTGACAATATGACTCACCCACTGCATGAATTCCTCTCCTCCGTTTAGATTTAGAACTTGTCGCAGAGGATAATTATTTTATTTTTTTAAGAAGATGGAGACCACAGATGGATATATTAAAACTACTTGTACAAAGAACAGGGATTGGGGTTTACTTCTTTTT